GCCCTGGCCCCAAAGTCCACCTTCAGCATTCCCTGGAGACCTCGCCACTCCATTCCCTTGCTGTTCTGTTGCACCCCTTTAGTGTTTTGCCTCAGTGGGGCGGGATCAGATCAGGTGCAATTCCCACACTGTGAGACCTTTAAGTTTCATTAGGCATATTCATATACACCCATACTCAATATAAATATAGGTGATATATTCACAATGAATTTTTAAGCAGTATTGGTTTTCCTGGTAGATCATTGCATCTACTCCAAAGTGGCATGCATTTTCAGATTACCCCTATTCTTACTCTTCCACGGTATAGTCATTTCCCTCCTAGAACTTTCTCGTTGGAAATTTTATATGATATACCATCTACATATTTCCCTTTATTCTGATACTCTGTTTCTTCTATATTTCTGTTTGCTTCTCTCTGTCGATTGGTCAAGCTAAAATACCATGAACATGGCATTGCTTTGAGAAGATCTACTTTGGATATCGTTTTAACTTTTTATTTTTCTTAGTTAAATATTCTGTTTTATGCTATTTTATAATCTCAAGAGTGTTTTTTCCTATTTTACTTGTAATTCATTTACATTGAAAACCTCAGAAACATGTAACTTTATAGCTGTGGTGACTCAAAATACTCTGAAAATATTTTGAATGTAATCCTCCAGTTGTGGATCTCTAATAGAAAAAAAATCTTTGAAAAACTGTTTCATATAAAAAAGTATGCTAAAAATACCTGTGTACTTCCATGTATTAATATTTTACCAGTACATTTTCTTTGTTCCCATAGTATTGCAAGAATCAGTAGAATTTTCCAGTCTTGATATAATGTTTGAAATCCCATTGCATGCTTTAGAACCTACCAAGAAAGTGACAAGATCTCAGGTATGTGTAGAGAATTGATGCATATTGCAACTGTTCAGTGATTTTTTTTGTTTATTGAGTTGATTGTTCTGAACCATGAGTGGCTTGAACTATTTCCTATGATTAATTTCTCACCACATATTTAAATTTATCCTACGTGGAGCAAGAACACTGACGTCTTGTAGAGACTGTACTATCAGATGTAATTTTCAAAGAACAAAAAAACGCATACAAGGTACAATTTTGGATCAGGATTAACAGGCTACAATTCAGGATCAGGATCAGGAAGTTTATAGGCAAAGCCTGGAGGATGACCTGGAAGAAATAATAGCCCTCGCTTTTTACTGCAAGACAGCTCTCTCAGCTCTTCTACCAGCCAGCAGGCCCTTTTCTCCACCATACACGCCATCTCCTAGCTTTGTGGGCCTCCTCTGGGGCATCTGAGGACAAGCTGTCTCTCATTTCCCTCAGAACAGACCTCTCTGCCTTCAGCCTCCCTGCCATGAGAGCCTCCCAGCCTCTCCACTACTAATGGCCAAGCCAAAAAGCCAGTGTAGCAATTTTGTTTAGTTATCGTAGCTGCATTATCAGCACCAGTTTTCTGCTATCATCATTGGCTCTGCCTCAGGGGCAGGAAGACCTCTCTGGTTCAGTGTCACAGCCTTGAGACAACTCTTTTTAGGAGGCTCCTCACCTCCTCCCTCTCTCTGCTGCTTCTCTAGTCTTGGCCCTAGTGCCTTTTCTCCTATTGGCTTCCTCTTCTTTCTGTCTACCACTGTGGGATTGGGTGAACATGTAAGCAAAACTCCCTGGTTAACTTCAAGGCAAGAGCCTTTCACTAATGAAAATCTTATTTCGCATGGTGCATAAAATAGAATAATCCTTGGACAGGCTGCAGATCAGGGCCAGACAAAATGTATCAAACCTTAAGTTGTTTAGCGCTTACCCACAAAATGTCAGTCATCCCGGACAAAAGGGAACCTAGGGTAGAACAGTTGGGTAAAGGGAACTTCTGAGAGCTTAGGCTGAAAATCTTTCAAAGTCGTTTTCCAAAAGTACAAGATATGAGAGGGGTTCAAAAAGTTCATGGAAAATAAAATTAAAAGATAAAGGAATTTTTCTAGAAGTTTTTGAAGCTTCCTGGTAAAAATACATAAAGGAACACATTTTACCATACTTATTCCTGTGACTACCGTATATAGTCCTATATTTGACTTACTATGGAACAACCAACTGTTTTTCACAGTAACTACATCTTACCGACAATTAATAGGGTTCTAATTTCTTCACACCCATGCCAGTATTTTCTTTAAACAAAAATCATAGTCATTATATTGGTGATAAGGTGGTATCTTATTGTCATTTTGGTGTGCATTTGAACAACTTTTCTGGGATCAGCTATTCATTCTTCCACCAATACCTGGGAGCCACTGTTTTTTCTCTGTCCCAATAATTTTCCCTTTTAAAGATGACAGGTAAATTTAATAATATAATATGTAGCCTTTGATGTCTGGCATCATTCAATTAGCAACATATATTTAAGATAAATCCATATGTTTGTGTTAGTTAATAGCCTCAATAATTTTATCACTGTATTGTATTCCTTGATATGGTTGCACCACAATTTGTTTATTTTTTAATCAGCCAAAAGAAGTATTTTTTTCCTTCCAATTTTTGTAATTATGCACCAAGATCTGATATTTACATGCAAATAATAAGTTTTTATGTGAACATACATTTCCAGTTTACTTAAAATAAAAACTTAGGAATGAAATTGTTGAATCATGTGTTAAAACTATCATAAAATGTCAGTCTTCCAAAGTAAGTAAATGTACCATTGTATTCTCTCATCACCAATGACTAAGAATTCCTATTCTCATTCCTATTCCTATTCCTGTTCTCATTCGAAAGCATAAATATTTTTAACTTTTTACTGCTGTATCTATCTTCTGTGTGTTGTTCATAGTCCTTAATAGGCTATTAACATGTTTGAATACTTCTTTGCTTATCTAATGTCATTTTAAAGGCATGTTATCTGTTATTGCCATGTTTAATAGTTTTAGTTGGTGCACAAGTCCAGTAAGTTGCTATGGTATTACAAACTAGTATATTGCATGTTATAATTTTAATAAATTTCTTGGGTTTTTTTTTGAGCAGGAAATTCTTATAGAGAACATTTCAAAACAGAATACCAGATGGACTTTGGATCTTAGTGACACCGGAAGACTTTTTAAAGATGGCATATTCAAGTTTAGTGCAGCGACTGGGCATCTGAAGCCATATGAAAAATATAGTATTTCTATATATTTCTCACCAAGTAAATATATTTTTACTATATTTATTATTAAAAAGTTTGAATTTACCCTTTATATGTTATTTTAGCATTTAGACAGAAGTTTAAATTCTTGGTTACGTCTTTTTTAAACAGTTTTTAAAAGTTTCTTCCTACTCAAATATGACAGCCAACACATGATTTTATGCCCTGTGTAGTCCTTTCCCAAGCTGAATAGGGCTGATATGTGATCTTAGAGATAGTGTAGAAATCATGATTTAATTGTCATGATGGTCATAAAAAGCATTGCAGCTTCTGGATCGCATTCGTGGATTGCTTGCTCTGTGGGAAGCTGGACAGCATATCTACTGATCTGTCTGTCCATTTTTATTTTGGCATTTATAACAAAACAACTTTATAGGACAGGGGGGATTCAACATATAGTGGGGAAAAAATAGGATGAAAAGATAATGGAAGTTTTCAGAAACATTTTGAAGCGCCTGCACACTTCTTCATAATTGGTATGCCAAGTTGTCTCTTATAAAACATATATTACAAAAGATTTCATGGCATTGCTAAAGCAATTACTTTTCTATATGATTTGTAGGTGACTTTTTTCTGTTCAAGAAATAAGAAACTGAGTTTTCCACTTCAAATGATGTTTCTCCAGTTATGAAAATTATATTTTATATGCATCAGTATTGCAAATGCGATTTTTCCATTGTTCTTTTGAACTAGTTATCGACATATGAAAGGAATATATTTTTGATGTCATTTGTTCTTTGACACCTTAACTGAGCTTCTTTATTAGTTCTAGAAGTTCTTCCCTCCTAAACATCATTTTGCAGTGCTTTCTAATTAACATAAAATCATAATAAGTTATATTTGATCTCATTTCTAATAGTTATGCTTTTTTTCATCCTTCCTACCTCCTTCCTCCATCGTTTTGCCGCCCTTTCCTCCCTATTTAATTATATTTGCTCAAACATCTAAAATAATGTTGATTTCTTGTGGTGATGTTGGCATCCTTAACATTATTCCAAATCTTAAGAAATGTTTATAGTATTTTTGAGTTACTTTATCAGTTGGGAAAATAGATAACTCCTTCGAAAGTGAATAATTGACGCAAATGTAATTAGTGAACTATTGAAAATGTGTCATAAGGGAAGGCATCTCAACAATGATGTTGAAGAATCTTGATTCTAGTATCAAAGAGGAACCATTATTACTCCTAGGATGAAGGAAGGGGAAACTAACAGAATACATACAGTGACTTTTCAGTGGCAGGAGACAGGAGACACATGCTGTGGCTCTAGAGGAAAGAGGATTGTTAATGAGGGAGCCAAGGGAGAGTTAACAAAGAACAAAGATAACAATTTCTCCTTTCTTAATGTTGTCTTTTCTTCTCTTTTTAATCCCCCTTCTCTTTTTATATTTCAAAGACATCCTGGTGAGTGTGAAGTGGTATCTCATTGAAGTTATGTTCATTTCCCTAATGACTAAGGGTGTTTTGCATTTTTGTGCGTGCTTCTTATGTATATATATATATTGTCTTTGAAGGAAAAAAATGCTCAAACTCACTGCCATTGAGTCATTTCTGACTCAGGGAGTCTATAGGATAGAGTAGAACTGCCTCTGTTGTTTTCCTAGGCCGTAACTCTTTAAGAAGCAGAAAGCCCCATCTTTCTCTTGCAGAGTGGCTAGTGTGTAGCCCAACACATACCTCAACTATATGCCAGCAGGGTTCCTTGTCCTTGGACAAATGTCTATCCAGATCCGTTTTCCATATCCAAATTGGGTCATTTGTCTTTTTGTGTTAAAATGTGTTTGCTATGTATCTTAGATACAAATCTCGTAAGATATAAATGGTTTTAAAATATTTTCACTCATCCCAGGATTTATCTTCTCAATTTTGATTGACATCCACTGAAGCAAAAGTATTTTTGATAGTGATGAATTCCAATTTACCGGGTTTTCTTATTGTCAGAGCTAAGAAAGCACTACAATAGCCAAGGTCATGAAGATTTATCCCGAAAGTTTCCTCTAGCTAAATGTAATTTTAACTCTTTAATATCAGTCTTTGATCCATTTTGAATTCATTTTTATAGTTTAAGGTTAGGCTCTTGCTTCATTCCAGTACCATTCTGTGAAAAATCTGTTTCTCTATTGAAATGTCTTAGTCTTATTATCAACAATCAACTGATCATAAGTATAAGGATGTATGCCAGGACCACCTGTCTTAAGTAATACAATTTTGTAGTGGATTTTGACATCTGAAAATGTAAGCCCTTCTACTTTTCAAGTTTGGCAATTCTTTTTTCCTTGCATTTATTTTTAAATTTCAGGATCAACCTGTCAGACCTCCATCCCCATCCCTCCAAAAATGTAATACCAAACAACAGGAGCTGTGTTGAATCTGCAGATCAATTCATGGTTTATTGCCTACTTAACA